GATATTATAAACATTATTTACTCAAGCTGCAAATCCCTATTTTGACTCCACTCTGTTACAGTGCCTTGCAAAAGTATTCTCATCCTACCAATAATATCACATTTTGATGAAATACAAATAATGTAAATAATGTTTTTAATGAACCTGTTTTTATTCAAAACTCTAATGATCAAACTTAACACTGTTATGTGTGAAGAAAGTTGAATGTCAGCAAAACCCGCAAAGAAAACATGTAAATTGTCAGTACTTGGTGGAAGTATCTTTGGCAGAAATTACTGCTATGGATAGTCCTTTTGGATAGATCTCTACCCGCTTTGTACAATGGGATGGTGTAATTTTTGCCCATTCTTTTTGGCAAAATTGCTCCAATTCTGAAAAGTTTGTTTGGGATCGCCGATGAACTGCAATCTTCAAGTTTCACCATAAATGTTCTATGGGATAAAAATCAGGACTTTGACTTGGCCGCTCCAGGACATTCTCTTTCTTCTTTTCAAACCACTCCAGTGTGGCTTTGGTCTTCTGCTTCTGGTCATTTTCCTGCTGAAATGTGAAGTTTCGATCCAGGTTTAGATTCTTGGCTGACTCAAGAACGTTTCCCTCTGGGATTCGCCTGTACTTTGCACCATCTATCTACTCCTCAATCCTGACAAGCTTTCCAGTCCCTGCTGATAAGAAGCATCCCATAACATGATGCTGCCACCACCATGCTTGACAGTTGGGTTGGTGTTGACTGGTGATGCGTTGTGTTGGGCTTGCGCCAGATGTAGCTCTTTGAATTTGGGCCAAATAGCCCCATTTTTGTCTCATCTGACCACAAAACCTTCTGCCATATTTTTGCAGTATCATTTATATGCTTTGTCGCAAACTCCATACGAGGTTTAAGATATTTGTTTTTCAGTAATGGCTTCTTTATTGCCACTCGCCCATACTGGCCAGCTTTGTGTAGGGACAGGGATATTTTCGATGTATCAACACTATTTTCCATCACAGAAATGGAATTTTTTAATCTTTCAAAGTCACTCTTAGCTTCACAGTGGTATCCCTAACCAGTTTTCAGCTTACCTGGCCGTTTAGTTTGGAATGGCAGCCTGATCTGTATAGTGTCTGGGTGGTATGAAGCACATTCCACTTCTTGGTGATGGACTTCACCATACTCAAAGGGACAATCAACGACTTTGAAATTTTCTTGTAACCTTCCCCCCATTTGGGCTTCTCTACCACTTTATCCTTGACTTGCTTGGAAAGCTCCTTGGTTTTCATGGTTAGTTTGTAGTATCACTATGTGAATTGTAGCTTGAACAGATGCATTTACTCTGATTACACTTTGATCACACATAGACAAAGATCATTACACTAATTTTGTGACCTTTCAAACAAATGTTTTGCACCTGAACAGACTTAGGGTCGCCATAGCAAAGAGTGTGAATACTTATTCAATTAAGAATATTCTATATTTTTTTCAAAATCTAACTTACTTACATAATATGAGCTTTTTTTTAGCTTTCTCAGTTTGAAGTAGATTGTAAATATAAAGTCCCATGTGAAAATTTCATGATTCATAAAATACCTTCTGTGAGAATTAGATTTCAGCCTTTTCTTTATTAAATATTTGTTTATGTATATGAGGTATGTGGGCATATTATACGTTTTATACCTGTTTTAGTTACGTAGGACTTTTTAAAAATTTCGTTCATATTGTTTATATGTGCTTTTGGCATAAACATGTGGTCCAGAACGTCGCTGAGTTTGCCATGTTTTAATTGCTTTGTTTCTTTCTACCTGAAGGGATATTGCAGTAACACATAGATAGCATCCTTGTTGAAAGGATTAGTGACTGTGACATTCTTTGCTGGCCGAATTGACAATGTCTGTGTATTAAAAACCGACAATGCTGTAAGATAACAAGGGTCACGATGTGGCACTATCGACAAATAGTCATCTAATGCGTAGAATTGAAACACCCTTTCTTGGTTCATTTCTACTGAAATTCTTTGAGTAAAGATATACTTTAAGATCAGCGTCTTCAGTTCGGGGTAAGTCTATTCTAAGAAATAGAAAGCTATGTACCTAATCTCTATTTAGTTGAAGCGAGTATTTTGTGTGTGTGTGGGTGGGTGGGTATGCAATTTGCATTTTCGTTTTCTTTGTTTTGTAATAAATATCGTGTTCATTTTATTAAACTTGTCCATTCTCATTGTTTCATACACAGATAAATATTCTTATTAATCGATCGAATCTGCTGTTATTAGGGGGGGGGTCTAACTATTTGTTACTTTTAGGGGAATCAGTTAACATGAAAATATTACATATACATACAGATTAATATTTTTCACTGTTCATTGGGACCAAAAATATATTTCATATAGCCCTCGCCCTCCAGTGGCACAGCGGTATGTCTGCGAACTTACAACTTTAGAAACGGGTTTCGATACCCGTGGTGAGCAGAGCACAGATAGCCCATTGTGTAGCTTAACTTCAAAACAGACAAACAAACATATATCCCTCCGATGGCTCAGCGGTAAGTCTCAGGGTGTATAACGCTAAAACTCATATTTCAATACTTGTGGTAAGTACAGCAAAATAACCTCTTGTGTAAATTTAAACTTAATACCACAATCATTAGAACAGTAAAAATGAGTATTTGTTTCATACAGTTTGTGTATTTCTTTAGCACATTAATGACCACATGCACATTTTATTGAATAATACGTTGAAGAAACTACTTTATCACGTAGCTTGTCCGCAATTATTTCTACTGTTTTCTCAGTTGTTAGTGGTGATTTTGTTACTTCTGTATCATCACTGTAATATAATATATTTAAAGCTAAGTCTTTGTCTGTTTGTTCGCGCCTTTCAGCCATCTGTTCCTTAGACCTTTCCACATTTCTTGATCAATCAGCACCAGACTTGACACGGTGATATAGGATGACACGAGGAAGGTCATGAAGGGGTGGGGTTTGGATCCCCACATATTTTATATATAGAAACGTCAATATGTATGTGTATCTGCTCCTTATATATTTCCACATTTCTTGATCAACCAGCACCCAACTTGGCATAGTAATACAGAATGACACGAGGAAGGTCATGAAGGGATTGGACCCCCCATCTAATTTCGTAAAAAAAACTACCAAATCAGCACAGTGATACAAGATGACACGAGGAAGGTCATGGGGGTTGGACCCCCTCATCTAATTTCATATTGATAGAATTCTTGAAAACAATATGTCTTTCTTTTCCGTATTGGTTCCTTTATGTAATTTTTTTGCACTTTAATGTTTAGAAAAAATATATAAGCACAATTTCCTTCCCTTAACAACAAACGAGTTTCTATTTCAATCGTCCAACGGACGGGTACTCCAGCTAGTGACATATAAACATGAAATTATTTTTTTCTGTACTGTATATTATCACACCTAGTCTTATGATTAAAACGACTTATGAAATCATTACATTTATAAGAGGAAACATATTTCCTCTTTCTTGTAACAACTGCAATTGAAGTTTAAGATTGCAACTTAAGATAAACATTTTCGACATACGATCCTTTAGCTTACTGCAGAATATAACTGATAAGTATTTTAGAAAAGGTTATTAAGGGAAAATGTGTAATTGTTAACTTTAATGCTGTAGTCATGCTCGAGCAAGAATAATTATTAGTTATAAACCACAAACTGCTCAATTCAGTAAGATTTATTCCTTTTCCATTCAACAAATATAGTTTGTTTCACATAAAAGACTGGTCTTTTAAAAATCAAATGTTGGTTAAGATTATAAGCAAACCACAACATATTTTACATATTTATTAACATACCGTCAAATAGTTATTTAATCCTTTCACTTTTGGGAGTCTATCACTGTTTGTTTCAACTGTGCTATCAGATCTACAGCGCCATCTTCTGGCGAACAGAAAACTCGTAGGATCAATCGTTGTAAATTACAAAATCAGTAAATACTTTAAATGAAAGGAATGCACGCACTTACAAGTTACGTTGGAAAACATGTTCAATCTTCATCACAAAAATTCCCTTGTTGTTTGTGTTATTAGTACTTTTAACGCATCATGTTGTTACTACTGGTAACACCACTTTTTCCTGATCATTTTTATTTATATTTTGACATCTGCTATACGTAGTATAGACACATTAAGCCTTTCTTACTTGTAATAAACATTATGTTAATATAATTAAAATAATGACCTACATCTTGTTACGTATTAGAATTTCAAATAGCCTGAAATGGAGTTAAATGGAGTGTAATATAAGTTTAACACAACAGTAAATGTACAACGTTTCGACGAGGTTCTGTCACTTGTACCTGAAGTTTTTCTTCATTACCCATTCAAGCCGTCTCCAAGCATTATTAGTCTCAAAGTGGGTTCCTCGTCATCGAATTTGAGTACACACATATATTGTTGATTCTTACACTCGGGAATCTTCTACAACTTTAGAGAATAGGCGGGAGTTTCGCAATATATATTTAACTGTATAAGTTATGTACATTTCTAAATATAAATTTAATTTAAGCTAATATCGATATTAAAATAAATATATAATAATAAATCCGTCACTATCTTCAGAATTTATCTTAATTATCTCAATAAAGCTACTGAAGAAACTGTATTAATGAAATATTGAAGTAATAAATTATGGAATTATAGGTCGTTATTCCATTTACTTTAAAACAAATATCTCGTAATAAACTCCAGTTTGCGTTAAACAAAGTTAAGAACAACATTCAGCAGAATCATTCTTGTAACGCTAACAACATACTGGAATCGTGATGCTCTGTAACATGTGTTCATAGTGTCATTAACACATCATGCTTTTAGTGTTTTTAATATATCATATTGTTAATGATTTTAATACATCATTATTTGTAACATATTGTGCTGTTATTGTTATTAACTGTGTCTTTAATTTTGAATTCGAATCGTAGTTCTCTCTCTCTCTCTTTCTTTGGTTAAAACACGTATCATATAATAATCTAAATACTTACAGAAGCAGAAGACTCAAGGGAAGAACTTAAGAAATTTCTTGCTGAAGACATTAGCCTTTTGCAATGTAAGTCTATTCTCTACTACTTGAATTAAGTACGATGCGATTTCAAAACACAGGTTTACATCTTCCAAACATCTAGCGTAATATGTTTATATAGATATATTTGTATGTTTGTTTATTAACCAGGTTCATAAAATAAAACATTTACAATGTTATTTTTCGGCATTTTCCACATACTTCTGTAATTATACCTCAGTGTCATTGTTGCTCCAGTAAATTATGTAATTTATATATATATATATTTACTAGTGTCTACTGCAAGCCCCGATGGTCAGCGGTAGACTTGGGGTTTATAACGTTTAAAATCGAGTATCGATACCTACGGTAGGAAGAGCACAGATAATCAACCCATCGTGTAGTTTGCGTTTAACAACAGAACGAAAAAAGTGAAAAAATTGAAAAAGATCGTTGTCGTTACACGTAAGTGTTATTTAATGGGCTTAAAAAACGCAGTGCCATCAGTTATAACACACAAAAAGCGTCTAGTAACGTTTTCCTAAAGTCAATATTAAAATTACAACTTCCTAATAGTCAGGGCTGTAGCCAGAATTTTGATTCTGGGAGATATGCCTCGGAAGATAACCCTCAAGAGAGTTGCCACTCCCAGCACTATATTTGATTTATATTTAACATTTTGGATATTTTCGCTTTCTAGAAAAATTATATCTGATTTTTTAACAATTTCGAGGGAAAGCCTCATTACAAAAATTCAATACGTTTTTTCAATATAAAAGCAGTTTATAAACACAGGAAGACTAGGCATGGCCTGCTGGCTAGGGCGCCCGACTTGCAATCTGCTGGTCGCGGGTTCGAATCCAGTCACATAACATGCTTGCCCTTTCAACTTTGGGGGAGTTATAATGTGACGGTCAATCTCACTATTCGTTGGTAAAAGAGTAGCCCAAGAATTGGCGGTGGGTGGTGATGACTAGCTGCCTTCCCTCTAGTCTTACACTGCTAAATTAGGGACGGCTAGCGCAGATAGCTCTCGTGTAGCTTTGCGCGAAATTCAAAAACAAACAAACAAACTTTTCTATTCATCATTGCGAAGTTAGTCAATTAGTGAGACTTTATTTTCAAGATTTCTACCCCCCCCCCCCCAAAAAAAAAACGAACCAAACCGACCTAATCTCTTTTCTCATAGCTCCACTTTCTATGGTGATTTAAAAAGCAGCGGGGAGAAAAATATTCAACTTAATCCCTTTAGGATAAATAGCGGAGTACTACCAAACTCTCTAGATTGTCAGGTGCTATATATATTTCCTTCATTTGTTTTTATCAGAATTGTTTGAATAAGTGTAGTGTGTTATACTCGTGTTAATCACGATCACTACGTTAAGAATACAAGTAAATGTAATTTCTAATGTTAAAAGTTATTGTTTTTACTTCAGTTTTTCGTCCTTTCGTTAGGTCTATTTTTTCTGGCGTTCCACTTATCGAACACAGAAGAAAGAAATGCAGATAGATTCGTTAGATAAGATCTGCTATGGCAGTAGTATCTCTCACGCGCTCTGAGCACTAAGGCTTCATCAGATAAATTAACCATAGAGGCTTGGAATTGATTTTTGTCTGACTGTAGCAGAACAAAATCGTTAAATGGATGAAAAGGACTTACTGTGAGGAATACGTGATCTTTAAGGCGTAGTAAGAAAGAACTACTAACACTGCCTTCATAACCTGGAGGTTATACAAAAATAAGCTATGTTTTTTTGTTTTTTTTCACAGATGAATTTAAGGGCGTTCTTTTACGTGCGATATCGATGTATAGATCTCATCTTGTTGTTGTTGTTTTTTTTTCCAACAGATTTCCAATATAAAATACAATATATGTACATACACATTTCTTTCCCTGTAAACTACTGGCGAAATCACACTTGAAAAGTTATTGCCAACTTATCGCAAACTACCGGTATTCCAAACCAGAGCAGTTTCATAAGAAAATATAATATATAAACATAAATACTTTTAACAACTAACTGCATGCTTTATTTTTCATATAAATAATTTTATACAACTATAAAGTAGAAGAGAAATCTTCAACTTGAATGTCACCTTATGCGTACGTGGGCTAATGGTCAGGTCATAGACACTTGCATGATTCGTCCCTAATTTTGAACTACCGAAGAGGATTTTTTGTTTTATATTTCGAACAAAGCTGCACGAAGGCTATCTGCGCTAGCCGTCCCTAAGTTAGCAGTGAAGTACTAGTAGGAATGCAGGTAGTTATCACCGCCAACTCTTGGGCTACTCTTTTACCAACGAATAGTGGGATTGACCTTCACATTACAACGCCCCCATAGCTGAAAGGGCGAGCATGTTTGATTGGACGGGGATTCGAACTCACGACCTGCAGATTGCTCTAACGCTCAAACCACCTGGTCATGCCAGGCCACCGAAGAGGAAAGACAGTAATCAGTCAACAACACCATCCGCCACAAGAGCTTTGTCCAACTCTTTTGAACCGACTAGTGAGATCAAGTGACACTTTTATGACGCGCTCACAACCGAAAGTTTTGAGCATGTTCATAGGCAACACTTCTCGAAATCCGAACCCTTCGAACCACAATACGATACGGAAACTAACTGTAGAATAGTGAAATTTAAAAACGAATAAAATAATTGTTGTATTAATGCAAGCGAAATCATAATCATTAATATTAATTTAAGTTTCTAATATATATGTCAGTGCATAATTATGCACCATATCAAGAAATTGATAAAAAATACTATAATAGTTGAAGTCGTAGTATAATACATAAGAAAAATATATAAAGAAAGCGCAACACTTAAAGAGAAAGAGCATTATACAACACATTATCTATTTTTGAGGGCCGGAGGGTAGCTATAGCTTACCAGACTGTGAATCTGTGTGTCTATGGTTCGAGTCTCGTTGATCCAAAACACGTTCCACTCTTTGAGCCATGGATGCGTAATAAAAGTGACGGTCAAATCCCACTATTACATTAGATCAATCCAGGAGTTAGCAGATGGTGCTACCTGCCTTCCCTCTGGTTTATTAATATTAGTTCAAAATTGGGAACAGCTAGCGTAGATACCTTGGTGCATCAGTGCACGTACTTCCGATACAAAGAGAGAAAAATATACTTTCGTTGATTTTATGTTGAAACTAGATTATTGTTCGTTTTTCAGGCAGTTTTACATAATTGGGTACAACTGTTCATCTAAGTTATCTTGCAATAATATTGAACTTCATCATAGTTATTTTTTATGTGTATAAGGTTTGTTTGTTTGTAATTAAGCACAAAGCTACACAATGGGCTATCTGTGCTCTGTCCACCACGGGTATCGAAATCCGGATTCTAGCGTGGTAAGTCCGCAGACATACCGCTGTGCCACATTAGGAAAGAAATCACATATAAAGTGTTTCAAAGCTCACACAAAAGATATCAAAATGTCTGTCGAGTTAAATAATGATAATCCTTCTTTACTCTGAACGTTGTGTTGTAAATTAACACAAACATTGTGTTTTTTCACAACGTAGATTGTATTCAACACACTTGTTTGAACTATGACACACTTGATTGTAGCGACATGAAAACACTTTTGTGTGTTTCATAACAACATAAATGAAGTGTGATTTCTTAAATTCTAAATTGTGTTTATTTAGCGGCATTATTATGTTTTGATATCATGCCTTTGTATGTGTATGTTGATTGTATAAAATTCAACATAAAGATTGTTCACAGCCACCACGTTTATGTTGTGTTAGCCTACAACGATGTGTTATTTTTAACTTTTTTATAACCATTGAAACACCAGATTTGTGTTACATTGAACAGAACTTATGTCGGCATCAACATAATTTTTTTATTGTTCCTTGTTTCCTTACAACTTGTCGCCAATGTTTGTGTGTGTAACAATATTATGTGTTTAAAAGCAAGTGGGTCATTTTGACCCACTTCGGCAACAAAAAAATAGTTACTTGCTGGTTCAACGGTTTTTCTGAATGACGAATTAAGTTAATTCAAGCAACGTTCATTAATAATAATCGGTAATTGGTGTTAGAATAAGTATATAATATTATGCTATTAATCCTTACCCTAATATCATCTCTAAATGACATATATAAAATCGATACTAATTGTTCGGCAACTTAGTCTGTTTCACCTCATAACAGCTGTTGCTCTTGTAATTTGATAATATAAATAGCGTCTCAACCAGTACTTTAAATTCTCTTCTCCTTTTGTTCACATACAAGGCTTTCATTCACATGAATCTATGCTTCTCCTGGTTTTGTACCACCATGCCCTACGGATTGCTTTCAATATTTCAATGCCTAGTCCCACTCAGAAGTTGTATACCCGTATCAATTTTCCACATATCCTGTTACACCTGCTTCAGTTTCGTACTCGTTATGTTACCAAATGCTGTCTTTCCCAGAGTGTGATCTTCTCTGATGTTCTTGCTAGCTTAGTTCATTCTCTACAGACGGTTGAAGCACCCGCTGATTATATCTTAAACAATGACCGTCACATGTCATCTATATTAAAATAAACCCATCTTATGTTTTACAGTACTCCTGGTCAATTTCTCTTTTCATTTACTTTACACTTCAGATCGCTATATTTGACCCGTCCATTTTGTTTTTTGAACTCTAGGTTATTATTGACATCTCTTTGCCGAAGAGAAAGCATAACCCTCTGCTGGCCCGCCAGCCCCTTGGGGTAGAATGAAATCACACATATATAATACAAAAAAACACTACTGTTCTGTTGCTGATGAACCTTCGTAATTGGTGAAAGACTTCGTTGGTATTGAATATAGCAGATATAATGCGTTTGACATAGTGTTATGCATTCTTTTAATGTTTTTGAATTGCGTCATTTACTACACGTTTACATCGGGCCTTTTCAACTACTACATAATATCTTGAAAATTCGTCCTTTCTGTAGGATGTCAAGTTCAAATGAGGTTGAAAACTTAAATGTATTCACATGAAGAGATTTAATCACATTTTAGTTATGTGTGTGTTTTGTTTTGCCATTATGGTGTTACATTAGATTGTTCCTCCAAATGAGCTCCCCGGTGGCACAACGTTAAGTCTGAATGCTATTAACGCTAAAACTGGGTTTCAATACCAGTGGTAACAACCAATAACTACACTCATCATATAGCATGCAATGATATTGGAGAATTTAAATCGAATACATCAATGTCATGCTCTTCATGTCTTGGGTGCTTTTTATGTCAAAATAAGCTATTAGATTACTAAGTACTTGATGCCTGAAAGTTGAGTTTACATAATCCAGAATTAATAGGCAATGACGTCAAACGATATATCTTGATAAGGTTTCCTGTATCGTTAAATTTCTCTATAGGCTCATACTGGCGAGAAAGAAATAACCTGTGGGATTTTTTCTTTGCTATTATATACCTAAAAATGACATATTATATTCATTATATAAACTTTCCTGTCAAAGCAGTAGGATTTGAGGATTATCTTCTGAAAAATTGAGGTAACAAAAAATAGATACGGCTTATAAACTTTCATTAGTAACTCTGGTATTTTCCAAAAATCATTAAAATAACAAATATATAAAGTTATTATATAAGAATATATATATATCATCGTCAGTATTTCGTTGAATAATCTCATGTAATTGGTGTTGCTTGTTTTTGTGCATTTGGCATATTTTGTAGTCCTTCGTACTAAAAAATAAGTTAGTTATCTTAATGTTAAACATAGAAGATATAAAGTTCAACAGTTTTAAAAATCATAATGACAAATCATAAAAGTGTTAAAAAATAACTTACGATATCGTCTTTGTAAAACTTGCACAGTGGCTATGACCATATAAAGAATTTGCAGTGAATATTCCGGCGAACAAATTAAACAATTAACATGCTGGTGTAAGGACTGCACGATGATTGTACCGGTGTTATAATTACACAATGAATATATTGGTGTGAGGAATGCATAGTTAGTGTGCCGATATAAAGATTGTGTCAGTGAAAATCTCGGTGTAAGGAATTTATAACTAACAGATCGATCCATGAACTGCATAATAAATATTTCTGGTCTGATTGTATTCCAAACAGAGTTCGTGGTATTACCTGAGAATTCTGGGTTGTTATTTTGGGTGATTGTATTTGTTTGTTGTGAGACGCAAAGCTACACAATGGGATGTTTGTGTTCTACCCACCAAGGGTATCTAAACCACCCGTTTTTTAGCGTTATAAGCCTTCAGACTTACTGCTGAGCCACCGAAGGACCTTTGTTTAGGATTCTGACTTTCTAACTTATAATAGCTGTGTAAGTAAATGCGTTGTGGTGTTCAGATTCATTAGATACTTAATCTAATTACATAGCAATGCATAGTGACTACGATTTGTTCTTGTTAGGTGCTACAATTGTGTGTTTAGTTACAGCAATTCCCAGTATACAAAATTGTAGTTTTAAATTAGCATACTATAAAGTCTGTCCTATAGTTCAAAACAACTAGAAGATATAGGATGAAAAAAGTCTTCTAACGAGAAAATAAACTCAAAGATATTTGTTTTTGTTAGATATTACAGTAGCTACAAGGTACGCTATAAGCAAATTTACACAAATTCAATCAGGTGTGCAATACAAAATTTATTGTTTTATTACTAAAACCACACAATGGTGATTGAACACATTTTATATACATTATTTCAAAAGGTACTGTCCTTTTTTAAAGCAATTGTTCAAATCAAGCTTGCCTGATTTACACATAATAACACCCTTTCTTGTTCTCAACCATGTCCTCAGCGTAAAACTCCATTGTTTCTGGTAAAGCTAGGAGCCATTTCAGCAGAAAGCAAATGCGACTATGAACAAGTTCTAAGAAACAAAAATGAATTAAGAAGTTAAAATGCGAAATAAGTGAGCTGAAAATCCTTCGGTAAACCTACTTATGACTCACCCTTTACTTTTATTTATGTTGAAATTTCTACTATTTATATATTAATACATAAGGTGAATATATATTTTCATTAGGGTTTTCTTATTAGATAACTTATATGATTTCAGCCTTGAATATAAACGAAGAAAAGTTATCCTTAGCAGGAAAACAGTTCCGCACACTCCATAGATATCGCACTCGTTATCCAGTAACAAAACCCGAAGTTTCACGAATAGCTTTTCTACACGACACCAATGATGGCATTACTCAGGTGTGGTTGTCTCATTTTACTTGATGATATTTTACCATGCATTTTTTTTTCCTTTTGCTAATTACACGTACTCTTAGCTCATGATGATACTTTTATTCTATCTGTAAATGTTTAGATGTGGTGTGATCTATGAGTTAATTTGTTTTTGTTTCTTTTTATTAATCAATCACTGAATTTTATTCAATGACAATTTTGTCACCTCAGATAGCATTCAATTAATGTCGTCGTTCTAGCGTTAGTAAATCTCAAAATGTTGGTTACATTTTGTCGGTTGGCAAGTTTCAAAATTATATATCTATTTTAGAATTGATATTTGACTTATCAAGTTACTTTTAAGACTGAATTAACGATGAAACTTTCCTTTAAGAATGGCCCCTTTTGCTTAAATTTATTTCTTTTCAGAAACGTATGATATTCGTGTAGTGATTTTTCACCTTCTATTTCAGTACTTACTGAGTTCTTGTTGGAAGTGGAATTTTAACGCATTTTCCCTTGATGTGGCCACCGGAGGGCGCTCAGTGTCTGTTTTGTTACTTCACCTCTTTCATAATTACGGTTTCATTAAGAAGTTTCGTCTAGATGCATTGAAAATCGTTCACTGTTTTTGTAAGTAGCTCATGTTTTTCATATTCACCCTTTCTTCAGATATGTACGACAAAAACGGTCATTTAGATAGACGTAACATCAATACACATTGTATTATAAAACTAAGAGTTTAAAGAAATAATCATTTAAATCTAACCAACAAGATATGCAAAATTACTGAAATAAATAAAGTAATGGTCAATACATTATTTAATATTGCTGATCGTATTAAAGGTGTCGCTGGCTGTGAAGAGAATGCTATTGCTTTACAAAAGGATTTAGACAAATTGGTGAGTTGAGCGAATAAATGGCAGGTCGCTTTTAATTATAATAAATGCAAGGTAATGCATGTGGAATATCATAATTTGAATTGTAAGTTTAATTTTGATGGTAATAACCTTAACAGTGTTATGGAAGAAAAGGATCTTGGTATTCTAGTTGATCAGTCTCTTAAGCTATCCAAGCTGTTGTTATGGGCAGAGCAAATGTGACTTTAGGTTCTATCTACAAGTCTAAAGTGATACAATTTCTCATGTATAGATCATTGACCAGGCCATATTTAGAGTATTGCGTTCAGTCATGGGCTTCATACCTGAAGAAGGGCATTGAATTACTGGAAGGGGTTCAGAGAAAGGCTACGAGGATGATATATGTGATGGAAAGAATGTTATTTGAATAATAAGGGCTGATATTAGGTGTGTTTTTTCAGTCATGGGCTTCATACCTGAAGAAGGGCATTGAATTACTGGAAGGGGTTCAGAGAAAGGCTACGAGGATGATATATGTGATGGAAAGAATGTTATTTGAATAATAAGGGCTGATATTAGGTGTTGTTTTTTCAGTCATGGGCTTCATACCTGAAGAAGGGCATTGAATTATTGGAAGGGGTTCAGAGAAAGGCTACGAGGATGATATATGTGATGGAAAGAATGTTATTTGAATAATAAGGGCTGATATTAGGTGTTGTTTTTTATTTTAAAGTTTAGTAGATAGGACGGCCTAAACGGACTAACATGTCTTTGTTGTTCTTAAATTATATGTAATTATGTAACTAATAAAATATGAACACGTTTGACGCTTGCTTCAAAAACATACTATATACAAACACAAACTCGTATGTGAGAAGTATCTTCTCTTCAGCTTAATATTTTCCATTTGATATGTCTGGAGTTCGCATTGTAGTGTAATAATAGGTAAACACATATAAAACAAGTCATTGTTATTCAGGTATATATATATATATATAACAATACTCAGAATTATTATAAAAACTGCTGAGGAAAAGGGTACAAAAGGCAAATCCTACAGGAATGTTACCCTTTTATCATATTAAAATAAACTGCCACAGAGTAAAGTCGTGTGTTTCAGCATACACTGTGATTGGTTTTCATCCAATAAATGGAAACATACACTACTACTACTGGGCTATCATACTGTGCCCAGCCGGCCCCATAAGAAGAAAGGCCCACCTTTCGAAAGCAGTCGGGTTATAAGGTATCATATATTTGTGTTAAATATATTTCACGTTCCAGTAAGAGATATATACAACACTCTGACGGGTGTGTGTGTGTGAAACTGAAACTGTTGATAATAATAAAAGTGATCGAAGAAGACATCTGAAACTCTACAAAAGTATTGTTAAGTACGTCATGGTATTTATAAGATAGATGACAGTCAAGTACAGTTATTGCCAACTATTTTACTTTTAATATAAGTGTGAATGATATCTAGAGACAGTAAGTTACATATTAACATTTAGTGGTCTCAGTCAACTTGTAACTGCTCGAAAACCGCTGCTGAGAAGAGGTAACCAAATCCAGAGGTTAAAATGGATATCAAACTAAAAACAGTGGAATGACAAAGCTGGGATCGTTTACTTTTTAAGGATAAATCAAAGTATACATTGTTCGACGAAAAACAATGATAGTTTGTTAGACAGTGAAGATAAGAACGGTATCATATAGTCAAAATATAACAGTTTATTAGACAGTAAAGATAAGAACGGTATCATATAGTCAAAATATGACAGCTTGTTAGAAATGAAGAGAAGAACGGTATCATATAGTAAAATATGACAGTTTATTAGACAGTGAAGATAAGAACGGTATCATATAGTCAAAATATAACAGTTTGTTAGACAGTGAAGATAAGAACGGTATCGTATTGTCAAAATATAACAGTTTGTTAGACAGTGAAGATAAGAACGGTATCGTATTGTCAAAATATAACAGTTTGTTAGACAGTAAAGATAAGAACGGTATCGTATAGTCAAAATATGACAGTTTATTAGACAGTGAAGATAAGAACGGTATCGTATTGTCAAAATATGACAGTTTGTTAGACAGTGAAGAGAAGAACGGTATCATATAGTAAAATATAACAGTTTGTTAGACAGTGAAGATAAGAACGGTATCGTATTGTCAAAATATGAAAGTTTGTTAGACAGTGAAGATAAGAACGGTATCATATAGTAAAATATAACAGCTTGTTAGAAATGAAGAGAAGAACGGTATCATATAGTCAAAATATAACAGTTTGTTAGACAGTGAAGATAAGAACGGTATCGTATTGTCAAAATATGAAAGTTTGTTAGACAGTGAAGATAAGAACGGTATCATATAGTAAAATATAACAGCTTGTTAGAAATGAAGAGAAGAACGGTATCATATAGTCAAAATATGACAGTTTATTAGACAGTGAAGAGAAGAACGGTCAAAATATACTTAAAATATAATATCTACAGTGCCATTCCATCAGGAACACGACTTATCAGTCGAGGATTCTTATTCCAGCAAGATAACGATCCAAAGCATACAGTAATTATAGTGAAACGATAACTTAACGGTTAAGAAGTTGATGGAACAAACACAATCATGGTCTGGTCTGCACAAAGTCCTGGAGTAAACATTCTTAAGGTTATCTGGGCTTATATAAAATCCGACAAAATCAAAACAACTTAGCTGAATTGTAGGGAGTAATGAATATATTTGGTACAATATTCCACAACCTTACCGACACAATAGTATACATGAAAATAAGGTGTAATGCTCTGTGCAAAGCAATAGGACTCACATATAAAATACCAGTACGTTATACAACTTATTCGTTTTCCTTTTTTATTTTCTATTACCGTTACTTTTTATATGTGACTCCTGTATGCGTATCACTTGTGTTTCCATAATTATTTCCATAACTGTATATATATATATATCTTAATCACATTCTTCCTCTAAAAGACACATTACTGCTATTATTGGCATGAAAAAGAAATTATATTTCATTTCTACTCGTTCGAAAAACTTAACGAGTTATTTTCTAACTCTTTATCTGTCTAAATCATGTTTTATGATTCCTTTTAAAGTTTACACATAACGCACTTTTTAAATGAGCAGTCCCGATTGCAAAGAAGTTATGAGAAAATGTGCCTTGTTTTGTTTTCGTGGTGAATGAAAGCCAACTCATATCCTTAATTAAAAAATACTTCATCGAACAAACGAGGAGGGGGTACCTGTTCATTAAATTACATCGTATTAAAATGACAGACAAAGACAAAAATCTCTACCAGCGTGTTTGTGATAGCTACAGCGATTATCAATGAAATTCCCCATGGTTCGTGAGGTATATCATTTTTTGTGACAAGTTTGAGTATAGTGAGGGTTTAGACACGACATTGGCATCTAATATACTTTCAGAATTTACATTTTTCTTCCCGATGATCATTTATCAGTTAAACATACCAAAGCTCGACGAAATTTTTAGTTGGTTTGTTGTTACGATACTTGCAGGTCTAATGTTAAATATAATATTGAAAATCACAATTTACTACCTTTAACATATAAATAATTAATAACAAGGTACTGAATAATAGTGCTTTCTTACTTAAGCATTGAATAACTCGAGTAAATAATTAATAACAAGGTACTGAATTATAGTACTTTCTTACTTAAGCATTGAATA